TTCTTGTAGGGTACATAACAAATGTAAACAAATAGATGTGTGAACTGTCAATGAAAAATCATCGAAAACACACAATGTCGGAACGACTTTGGTTCCACAATCCACAAATTGTGTTTTCAAGAGAATTTCAATTCGGTGCGAACATAGTTTGATGTTGGAAACAGAATTTATATTGGTTTTGGGTGTCATCGAAACCAATCTTATCGGTTTTGATACCAGAAATAAAGCAAGAGGATATTCGCTAACAAATTTGAATATTGCGTTGTTATTTCTGTGTGCTGTTAGACGGTTGAAAAAATATAAGTTAAGAAATGTAGTTATTTCATTGTTACGAATTAAATTAACATAAGAACAGGAGGTGGCCCCTTTTCTAAATATCAGCTCACTCAAAATGAAGAAACAATTGTGCGTCTTTGCGGCATTTCGCAAACCGTGGAAGGCATACCAGGCGTTTCTCTTGGCACCCAACCCGGCAATGAGAATGTATATGTTGCAATTGCAGGGGTGAATCCAGATATAAATTTGTCTTCCTCCACGTCCCAATGGCAACGAGAAAGAAATGCTAATGTACCTATAAGGCAAAAATTAGAAAGTACACCAGATCGTTAAAAAAGATTTTTAGATGAGGAAACTAACAAAACTTGAAAATATTATATTGAAAAAATTTGATAAATTAATAGAACTGCAGACTAAAAATTCTAGCAGCTTGAGGCGCATATACCAAGCATTAGAAAATAATAATAAAGCTGATGGAAGAGCTATTACCGAAATGAAAGATGAGTTTGTTAGCATAAGTTCTCAATTGCTTAAAAGTATTATTGAAAAAAGTGAGATAAAAAAGAGCAACTAAATCTAGAAATCTTTAAGTTCGAATAGAAAAAACAAAATTACGCAAAAAAAGAAGATTAATTAATAAGTATGTCATTTAATCAAAGATCTTGGTTGTACCTGAATTTAAAAATTAAGATTGATTTTAGTTCAGCCATGAAGACTGTTATATTTAAAAAAAAAAATACATTGAATTACAAATTTGCTATTTCGTCTCTTATTCTCTGGCCTTCGCTTTGCATTGAACCATTATCAGATGGGAATAAATTGTCCTCATTAATTTCATTTGCAAGAAATACAACTTCTTGATTGTGTTCAATGTTGTAACGTCTGCAAATGTTGTGTAACGCACAACAAACGTTAACAATTTAACAACATTTCAGGGCGATAATGTAATGTACACATTAAACAGCGGAAACGGCTTTTTAAAACTCCAATTGTTCATTCCACAATATTCCGAACAGCCGTATGTGCTATATTGAATCTATACTCCTTGGAGGAAATATTGCTTAGCGTGCCCAGATGAAACCATCTTGACTTGAACCGGGTTACCGTTCATCTACGGCCCGTATTTGCATATCGTTGTCACAAATCTTTGGATAAAAGAAATATATATATGTATGTATTTTTATAAATATGTTTGAATATTAATTTATTGATTATACTTACTATCATCGCATTTATACTAAAATATCCCTTTCGGTTAAAATACAAATGCTCATTATCAGGTGGCTTAATTATTTTGATATGTGATTTCTTGAAATCAACTTTTTGTTTTCATCAATAGAAAGTTTTATCCACTGACCGCAAATGTAATTCTCTAAGAGGCATATCACCTGCGTTGAAATCTGCGACACCGTGCTTCTTGCCAAACTGATGCAAGAATCACGTCCTACTCCCCGTTGGTAAGCCCCATCTGTTAAAAATCTCAGTGTTGCTGCCAATTGAATTATAGGCTGAATCATCGACGGCTGCAAATGTGGTTCGATGAAATTTAACACCATTAGGAATGCATCTTTATTCAGTCGATAATGTGATATAAATCTGTAAAGTAGCGTTGAAATATATATAAAAGCTGATAAGTAAATACAAGCTATTTCACTTACGATTCCCCTGGGCCATCAAGTGGGTTACTTTAGTCTCTTAATATTTTCCTTTTAATTTTTTCGTTCTTTCTTCTTCTAATAAAACAAAAGCTAAAATTGCGGAACTCATTTTAAACTTTACTACAATTGCTTTCAAAGTTCACAATAGTAAACAGCTGATTCGAATATTGGTTTTGCATATGTTCGAAAAGACGAAAATCCAATCAGATTCGGTGACACCATTGAAAATCAGAATTAGTTTACAATTCTGACAGCTAAGCAAATCTGTCTTGGATTCCACAACACCCCTGATAAATTTTATCATATCATAGAAATTGAAAATATAATTCTAAATAGGTATGCGCAACGATTTTTCAATATTCGTTGCGTCTATTTAAAGTATTTCACACATTGTGTAGTGTATTTTTCTTTTTCGAAGTTATATTTCTCGATGTTCCCTCATCTGGAATTACAAACTAGTACACAAAAAGATTTGATTTAACATTTGCGCCTTTTATATTCATTAACATTCTCTGGTGAAATATTACCTAATGGCTTGTTTACACACTTTCAAAACCGCTGTTGCAATGACAGAGTATTTATAAGAAATGTATATGTATATGTTTCAACAACTTTTACGAAATGCTCATTTACCTATTCAATAATTATCATTAAAATATTAACTAAACTTACACATACATATGTATTTAAGTATTTAATCACTATTTTCCTTATGTTGTTAAAATTTATGTTTTGAATATCACTTTGCGGTTACTTTTACTGGCACCATTCCCGAAGCTACGTATGTACATGTTGAAAAGAAAGCAGAGCGGTCAAACCAATAAATTGGATAAGGAAAAAAGGTAACTCAACAAGTTCAAACTACCGAATTAAACAAATCCTATACAAATTTCTCCAATGGACTGACAGTACTTGCGGTGCAACCTAGAGCTACCAATCAATCTGTCAGATTGAATTACAGTCGCTAATTTCGTGGCTACATTCACTTAGACATTTTCTGAAATGATAGCAGCGCTCAAAGCCATCTTTATATATTATATTACAGGTATGTAGGAGTTCAGCCTCTTCGGGTTCAATTAGTGCTTCAAACCATTTGGGGCCCTCAATGAAACTACTTATCTCCGTTATGCTTTTTGTAGATAGCCATTCAAGGCTTAAACTTGATGAATACCAAGAGTTTTATGTCGGGTTTGTGTTAGAGCTGGATTTCCTTCCCTTCGAGTTTGTGTTGCGAAAAATATTGTTTTACGGCATTTCCATTTTTAACGGATGTTCTCCAATGGGCAATGCCCCGTTATAGTAACTATAAATCTGTATATATTTTTTCTGGATCTATTTAATATGTCCTTAGTTCTTGTCTTGTCATATTTTAGCCATATCTGCTTCACTATTTTGCATTCGGTTATAGGTGCCCATTTGTTCAAATTGTCTATTGAGCTCACTCTCGAACGTTCCTTGCGGGCATTGTATTGTCTCTGCCATGGATTTGTCTAGTGAGGCTCCTGACTTGGCCAACTTCTCTGCTTTTTCGTTCACGAAAATGTTCCTGTGACGGGGAACTCAGAGTTGAACTACCAGTGCGCATAAAGCCTTCCTACATTTATTGACACCACTGGAATTTATCTTTGGCGACGACAAGGTTTGGAATGTCGCTTGGCGTTCTGTGTATATGTTAGCTTTTTAATCCTCCTGTCATTATTCAGTAGAACTCCCCGGCCTTTTCTATGCTCAGTATTTTCGCTTGCAAGAAGCTAGCTAAGTTTGGTAGACGGATAGAGAAAGAAATATCAAGATCCTGAGAGTATACCCCCGTTCCTACTTCGCTGTCTATTTTATACTCTTCGATATTGATTGAGAGAGTATCCCCCTCCCCTAAACCTCCTCTCCATTCACATCTAGAGTGTATTATCACCTGGAAGTAACTATTGAAAAACAACCTCGGGAGGATATAGTCTGATTTATTTAAAATTGTTTTCAGCTCATTCAAAATATTGCTATGTCTACGACTCTTTCGGCTCCAACCACCCAACTCCTAATTATAGTTCTTATAGCAGAACATTCTGCTACTTTTCGTATAAAAACGTCTATGGACAGTTTTTGCAGGAGCATATTAAGCGCATCAGTAGTACACGACTAAATAGTCGAGGTATATTTACATGAAGATAATATGATAAACTATATATCAAATCTAGGTATTCAAATTAAATGTAATGGGGAGAATGACAAGAAGCCAAATTGCAATACCTTGAAAAAATTAAGAAGGAAACTAACACATTCACACGTCGCAACGCTTTATGAGAAATCTCTGTTTGCGCTTTCTATTAATTAAATCATGATCCAACAGATTGTGAATTTGCGTAGAATAAGAGAGCGAATATTAGCAATTTCTTAGCAAATAATACTCATGTTCAAACAGAAGGACTTCGTTTGGGAACCGCCTCGAAAGCTCAAATTGCATTTCGGTCACGCAGTGCTCCTACAGTTGTATGCAAGGAACTTAAACTAAAGTTTCAGTCGAAACATACAGTTTCAGATCGACCAGAGGTATCGCTCCTGCCATCTCGAAAATCAATCGATGACGGTGCATGCCTGAAAAGTAAAGGCCTAAAGGTTTCAACGTGAACGAAATGTAATCGTTAGTCTAACATTCTTAGACGCTGTAGCAAAGACTTGGTGCGGCATTATACTCTGCTACGAGTGTAACGGAACACATCGTTGCAGTGCGACGGGTATTAAGTATTGGAATTGCATTAAGGCGAGATAAATGGTTCGCATTTCTCTATGATACACCTTATAGACAATTTATTTAGTTGCCTAGAACGAAAAAAATTTAGGGCGGTGTTTTGGCTAATTTTTTATGTTTTTTTATTTATTTGTTTATTTATTTAATTTGTTTGTTTTAAATAATTCCCAAATTACCTATATTTATTTCATTTATATATTGTATAATATACAAAAATCATAGTTTCTTATTTTCGCATCGTAATTCAAATTATAAACAACAATGCGAGTATTTTTAATTACATGAATAATTTTTAAAAATTATAAATTTTGTTGTTAAGACAAAAAATGCTTAGAGGGAGAATTTGCTTTTACCTAGGGCCTGTTTTGGTTCCCGGTTAAGCGACGTGAGCAATATCAATGCCTCGGTCATGTCTCGTTTTCACTCGTTAAAATCATTGCTTGCGAGAGCTATATTTCCATTAATTACTTAGTGTAGAACTTTTGCTGCCCCAAATTTCAAATAAAAATCAATAGTTGCCCATCAACTTTGCAATACAACTCTTCAACTTTTACTGATAGGAGTCGAACACCATTATACATTATAAGATGTTCTAAGATTTATTTAAATTTCAGTCCAGTTGCGCGAAGTCGCTGAGATCAAACAACGCATTGTATATGTCACCATAAGGATGTCAAGCCCACGCATAGTTACGTACCTAGGCGCTGGAAAGTTACTGTTTCGTTTGGTAGACCAGTGAAATAAAACTTGATGAAATTATCTTATATGTAGTAATACATTAAACTGATTTTATTTCAACTTTTTGTATATTAGATCGATGATTAAGCTAAAGTGGTGAATAAGAACTGTTTGTAATTCATTAGTGCGCCGTTGGCTGCATATTATTTGAGGTACATTAAGTGCGATGACTGAAGAGTTAAGAAAAGTCGTGTTATTTCCGTGTTACAATATTTTAGAAGAAACACGAACATTTGAATGATTACGTGTGTCAAATTTGCTTTGCAATTCGGTAATTGTGTTTATGAGGGGTCCCAACTGATGTACTTGAGACCTTATCTGATAATAAATATTTATGATATTAGCTACTGCGATTTGAACATCTATCATACACTCACGTTTAGTTACAGACGTTCCACTTATTTTTGGTTAGCGCTGGATCCATATTGCCTTACACTTTCCGATTGGCTTTCATAGTCGATTCAGACGTTAATTGCCTAGTAGCATCTCTTCTTATAACGGGTGATCCTTCGTTGATAACTACCTCCTTATATTTTAAAAGTTACTCTTGAGGAAATCATACATACCAATGTCTGAGTTAGTAATTCGTCATGTGTTGGCTGCATTTTGTTGGTAATGACGCTGGCTATTTATATTGCACGCCTTAAACCAATAGTCCACCGGTGTAAAGATTGTATTCATATTATTTGAGGCGGAGGGTCACATTGTTTTTTCGGAACAGTTCTGTTCGAATAAATGTTCTAAGTTCGAATGTTCGTTACAGAGAACTTCTATAACTGTTGAGACCAAGTCGTAAACTAATAAATAAATTATCAGTAAAAAATTTACATTCCATTTGGCTCAGCAAAATGTTAATTTGTTTACACCATAGTACATTTTTTCACCCTTATTCAACATAGAGATAGCGATTGGCGCACAGCCATAATTGGGAATAAAGAAAATTTTTAGTTAATTAATTTTCAGTGAAGAAGTTGTACGATAGGTTAGGCTACTTTTTTATCAATCCAGTGATCGAACTCAAAATATTTCATAGATGATGAAAACATAGTTTAAACATATTTTACATTGACATTCTATTTTCTTGCAACTTGTAAAGATCCGATGCGGCGAAATTTTTTGAAAAATTTATATTTACTCGTTTCACTTATACACTCACCTTTTTGCACTTTAACGTAAAATGAAACGGCGTATGAAAGGGGAACACGGGCGGAAACTTGCGGACGTCTGATCGGGGCGATTCGCTGATGAGAAAAGAAGAATTCTGGTCTATTGTTACTCCCTTTTGAGTGTTGGGTAGTGTAGAGTTGTGGTAGGATGTGATGTGTGTGTGTGGGTGGTCTGTGTGGTGTGATGTCTGCGTGGTGTGATGTCTGCAGGGGTGGTGTGTGTTCGTGTGTGTTAGTGGGTGGAGTCTTCTTGTGGATCGTGTTAATGTGGTGTGTTGGCGCTCAGTGGCGCGTATGGAGGGGGGAGGCGTAACTCATCTAGCCATCCCGGCCCCCCTAGGCGAATTTTAGCCTAGCAACCGCTGTAGTTGCTGCAGCGTTGCAACGACGCTGCTGAGGCCAGTGGAGCGGCGGTATGTTGGCCTGGGCTGCCGACGCCGCGTTGATGCCTCCTGTCGCCTCGGTCTGGATGGAGGTGGAGCTGCCTGTCTTCGGTGGTGCTCCGGATGGTTGCTTTGCTGCGATCTGCGGCTTGGGGCGAGTTGTCGCCCGACGGCCCGCTTTGGGGTGCGGTGCAGCATAGTATGGTGCTGTCTATGGCACAGCTGGCAGAGCGTAACCGACGTACACTCCGGAGTCGTGTGGACCGTAGACAAATAGTTTAGGCAGTGCCCGTGCGCTTGGGCAACCTGCTGACGTTGTGGTGGCTGCATGCTTCGGAAAATGCTGCAGTGTTGCAGCCGGTGTGTGCGTCGACACAGTGGGCATCGGCTGTGTTGAGGTACCGTTGCCGGTGCTGGTGAAGGTGGTAGTGGTCGCGGGCCATTACGGGGAGCGGTTGCAGGGACGATTGCCGCTGCGGTTCGTGGTGTTGCAGTTGCCCCAGGGCGCGGCACATTGATGGCGGACCTCACAGCTGGCGTTGGTGTTGTTGCCATATCTACTTCCATATTGATCTGTATGAAGAAGTTGGAATGATTATACATTTGTGGCATGTAAATTTATGGCGAATGTGCCACGGTGTGTGGCAGGAATGGATCGTCAATTTGATCGATCATTGCGGTTAGAATGTTTGGTTTATAACGGTTTTGTCATTTGCGGGTTTATTGGTTAGTTATACGACTAATTCATTTGCGTCGCGGTAATATCGGCGGATTGGTTGTTATTTGCGGTTTTGTCATTAGATACGGTTGGCAGAAAACATAATTTCACGAGCGGTCTTGTCAGCGTTCCGCTTTGAGTACGGAGATCAACTACTCGTATATGACCGTCGGAACCGTAATATAATTTTTCTATGCGGCCAAGCCGCCATTCTGTGGGGGGTAGACAATCATCGTGTATGATAACACAGTCTCCAAGCTTTGGTGCCTTTTCTGGAGTTTTCCATCGGTACCTTTTATGAAGGTCCTTGATGTACTCTTCCTTCCATCGACGGCTGAAATCATGATGGAGAATTTTGATTCTTTCCCATCGATTTAATAGGGATAGCGACCCCACGCCTGGCTCAGGTATGGCCAGAATGGGTGCTCCTTTGAGAAAATGCCCTTTGAGAAAATGCCCTGGAGCTGTGAAGTCGGAGGGATCTTGCGAGAGTGGGGTGAGTGGCCGTGAATTGAGAACGGCTTCAATTCGGATTAATAAGGTAGTGAATTCTTCATAATTGAATTTATAATTTCCAGCTACTTTTTTGAAATGGGATTTGAAGCTTTTTACAGCTGATTCCCATAAACCACCCATATGAGGAGCGCTTGGGGGGATAAACTGCCAATTAATGCCTTGGGGAGCATACTTCTGAACAATTTCAGGTGATACTTGTTTAATAAAATCCACAAACTGTTTTTCAGTGGCTCTTTGAGCTCCAATGAATGTTTTGCCGTTATCGCTCATTAGTTTTGAGGGGAAGCCGCGTCGTCCGACAAAGCGAGCAAAAAAGCCTCCTTAGTCAGATTTGTACATAGCTCGAGGTGCACTGCTTTTTTCGTGAAACAGACAAAGACAGCCACATAGCCTTTCATTATGGTGGGCGACCTTAGCATGGACGCCTTTATTTGAAAAGGCCCAGCAAAATCGACACCTGTGACTGTGAAAGGCAGAGCGAAGTTACAGCGTTCCGGAGGAAGTGCTGCCATAATCTGCGTTCGCAACTTCTGCTTATGCAGAGTGCAGATCTTGCACATGAAAATGCATTTTTTGATTTGGGGCTTAAGTCGGGGAATATAGAACTCTTGGCGGACTATATGTTGCATTAGGCGATGTTCTGCGTGGAGCATAAGTAAGTGGATATAATTGAGGAGTAAAGTGGCAAGTCGAGATTTCTCTGGTATGATTAGAGGATGGCGTTCATTATACGTGAGGCTTGAATTGGCAAGCCGACCATTCGCACGAAGCAGACCTTTCGTGTCTAGGAATGGGTTAAGAACTAAGAGTGAACTCCTTTTGTCAATGGGTTTTGATTCTCTTAATAGTGTTATATCGCGGCTGAAGTAGCGCGTTTGAGTTGATGCGATTAGAGCGACCTTTGCCTTTTGCAATTCCAGGTGCGTCAATGTATCGCATTGGGGGTACTCTGAGGGAACTCCCTTAACTTTAATTTTAAGTCGCTCTATGAACTTAAACATATAGGCGATTACTCTGAGGGCTCGGGAGAACGATGAAAATCGCTCAAGGATGTCAGTATCCTCCACTGCTGTGTGAAAGGAGTCGATCTTTCGACTTTCGGGGGCTATTATATTGCGCATGGGCGATTGTGGCCAAGAATCGGGAGATTCTGTTAACCATCGGGGGCCATTCCACCAGAGGGTGGTGGTGGCGAGATGCAGGGGTTTGCATCCTCTTGTACCTAGATCAGCAGGATTGTCAGCACTGGCTACATGTCGCCAAGTGGCTGATCCCACTAGGTCAAGTATTTGAGACGTTCGATTAGCAATGTACGTCTTCCATGCATGTGGTGGTTTTTCCAACCAGGCTAGAACAATTTCAGAATCGGACCAGAGATACAATCTATGTTTCTTCATGTTTAAATGGGTCTGCGCCATGGAAGCTAATTTTGCGAGTAGTAGCGCGCCACAGAGCTCAAGTCGAGGTAGACTTAGCGTTTTTAAAGGAGCCACCTTTGCTTTTGCTACTAATAAGTGGCTTGTGGTAGCGGTATCGCTTTGTGTGCGCACATAGATAGTGGCACAGTATGCCTTCTCCGAGGCATCACAGAAGCCGTGTATTTCGACTTTGTGTTCGGGGAAATAGTTTACCCATCGAGGGATTTGTATCTGGGAAATGTCTTCCAGATTGTTTGCAAACTGGGACCATTTTTCTAAGCGAAGAGGTTTCACTTGTTCGTCCCAGTCGGTTCCGTCTAGCCATAATTCTTGTATCAAGATTTTCGCTTGTATCATAATTGGCGAAAGCCATCCTGCGGGGTCGAAAAGTTTCGCCACAGAGGATAAAATTTGGCGTTTTGCTATGGCGGATAATGCATTGACTCTGTAGTGTATGAAAACTGGTCAGATATCGCGTTCCATTGGATCCCCAGAGTTTTTGTTGTACTTTCCTTTTCGAATTTAAGGAAATTAGTGTCCAAGAGATTTTCTTTAGGTATGTCCTTTAAGATATTAGGGTGGTTCGCCGTTATCTTTTTTAACGGAAACCCTGCGGTTTTGAGGGCTTGTGTCACTTGTGCTAGTGACTCGTATGCTTGTGGAAGACTGTGACTTCCAGACAGAATATCGTCTACATACGTTTGTGTTTTTAACACCTGGGTTGCCAGAGGAAACTCTGACTTGGTGTTTTCTGCCAATTCGTGCAGTGTTCGAATGGCTAAATATGGGGCACAGTTGACGCCAAAGGTAACTGTTTTCAATTTATAGTCGCGGAGTGGACTATTGGGAGATTTTCGGAAAATAATTCGCTGAAAATCTTGATCGTCTTTATGTACGACTATTTGTCTATACATTTTTTCGACGTCTCCGTTAAATACGTATTTGAATATACGCCAATTTAAAATTAGTAGCATTAAATCTGGTTGGAGCGTGGGTCCCGTAAATAGAATATCATTTAGGGAATTCCCCGAGCTAGTAGATCTTGATGCATTAAAAACAACTCTTACTTTAGTTGTTTTTTTGTCTGGCTTTACTACTGCGTGATGAGGCAAGTAAAATGAGTAATATTTGCCATTTACGATTTTTTCGCATGGGCTTACTTCCTCCATGTGGTCTAAATGGAGGTATTCTTCCAACACGCCATCGTATTCTGGCTTAAGCTCACCTTTTTTAAGTAAGTTTTTTTCCATACTTAAAAACTGCTGTATAGCAGAGGTGCGAGAGTGACCTAAGGCGATTGTGTTAGGAAATTGTTGTTTTAGTGGTAGTCGTACGACATACCGACCATTATCTGATCTAGTAGTTGTGGCTTTGTAAAAGTCTTCACAATACTGATCTTCAGGGGTTGTGATTAATATGGGGGGGAGTTCTTCTAACTCCCAAAACTTTTTCAATTGTGAATTGAGGTATTCGTTTGAGATTTCCTCAACCTGAGTGGTCATGGTGGTAACTGGTTCCGAAACTAGTCCACTTAGGATCCACCCAAAAATAGTATTTTGTGCCAGAAGTGTATTTGAAATTTTCTCAATAACTTCGAGTATTATCTGTGGTATGAGATCGCTGCCTAATAGAAGGTCTTTTTGAGCGGGAGTGTTGCAGTTGGGATCTGCTAGCTTTAGGTGTGAAACCTTTTGCCAATGCTTGCTATTTATGTGATAGCTTGGAAGCATATTTGTAAGTTGCGGTAAGACTATAGCTTCTGCTTGTATGTGCTTATCCGCTTGGGGGGAAATTAAGGTAATGGGGCAGATTTTATTAGAGTTTTGAACTACTCTTCCGCCCATTCCTGTAATTTCAAAGTTGGCTTGTTTTGTTGGCAGTTGTAGCCTATTTTGTGCCCTAGACGCTATGAAAGATCGTTGTGATCCTTGGTCTATTAAGGCCCTAAGTTTAAACAGCTCTCCTCGGTGTTCGATGGAGATGACTGCTGTGGGTAGTAGTACCCTACTTTGGTTTTCGCTGTGTAGGGTTTGGGTTTTTAATGCCTTTGAGCAACATGGTGCTTCTTGGCAATTATCGGGATTTCGCACTTCGGGATTTGCTGTTGCAACTAAACCCGTGGCTCTTTTCATATTTGCGCTG